TAGGATTTAAAATGGACACTGCGTTGCTCCTCATGCTGTTTCTTTTTGCCAGTTCATGCTAATCTGCAAATACAAACCTGTCTCTGCCAAGGCACTTTTTCCAGCAGTCAGCTTGATGGTAACACTCTCCTGCTGCATTTCCATCCTCCTGAGGCATCACCCCTTCCAGTGCTTCAAGTTCAAGGGCTTGCGATGTACAAATACCTGTACATAGCCTTCTCTTTCCACATGGTATGTTGTGCCCTGTTCCCGTGCTCTGCCAATGAGGAACCCTGCCCCACATCTCCTCCATCCTGCTTCTTTTTCCATAACATTCTTTGCACACCAAATTACTTCTGGAGGTGCCACAATCTTTTTAAAAATAACAATGCTCATGAACGGGAATAGTTGTGATTAAAAAGTTTCCTAAACTGCTGGAAAATCTTCCAGCTCCCTTTTCTTTCTCTGCTCATGGGTCTGTCTCTGGAGAGTTGAGAAAATGAAGACAAACCCATGCCATGTTTGCTGCAGGTAACAGCTCCTCATATGGGTGAGCTGGGACTTCCGTCAAAGGCTGTGTCCACACTTGGTGTATGTGAAAGAGCATCCACTCCTCACTGTATGATCTTCATAACACCCCTTCTCAATTCAGTCTTTTATCTTTCTCTATGCAACCGGACAATATGTCTCTAGGGATTTAATGTACATTGTATTTTTCTTTCTCCAGCAAACATAAAAGACTGTAGAACCTGAGTACAGGCAGTCTTAGCTGGGCCAATGTTTCTCAACAATGGCCCCTTCAAGTATGAAAAGCAGGAAACGAGGCTGCAGATGTGTAGAACTTCAACAAAAGATGTCAAAGCTAGGGAAAGTTTTAATTTTCCTAGAAGAGGGCTAATTTCATATTCAACAAAATGGAAGTAACAAACTTTCTCAGGTGTTTCCAAGTTCTGCTGCTTTATGAATTATCAGTAAGGATTTGCTGTGAAGCTACAGAAGTTGCTGCTGTTGCACCAAGGCTGGTATGTGTTGTACCCAAGTGGAACGTGAGCTGCAAAGTCAACTCTGAATTATCACAGGCAGCTGCCTACTCAGGCTTTTTTCATCTTCTTGTTCTCAGCAATTTCTTTTAACACAAAGGCACCACTCCCCCAGCCATGCACACACCCTATAGATGACTCAAGCTATTTCTCCTATGGGCTGGGAAGGGATATGAGAGACAGAGACTTGTTTTCATTTCTATTTTTAAATGCTATGGAAACAGTGAAATTATGATAATGAGGACCACAAATAATAAGATAAACTGTCCTGTGAAGTGCCCAGACCTTCTTTTGTTTTGTTGGGCTTTTTTGAGTACTTTCCTTTTTCTATCAGCACAGAGTTTGAAAGAGGTAAAAGGTTATGAACAAAAAGCGGTTTGTTACAGAGTCACCATGAGAAATAACGAGCGTGTACAGTGAGCACACATCCTGCTGTTCATACTTGCTGTTGCTAAGGTAACAGAAACAAAACACCAGTTTAGGGTGTTTGCAGCTTCTGAGGATGTGGTTTATGCACTGCTTGCAATAGTCTGATGACTGAAGATGGCTCCCTTCCCATCATTTATGATTTTTTTGCATGTCTTAGAAATCCTTTTGTTGTGAATACTTGTAAGCATGTAAGTGATGACAATGAAGTTTATTTTCACTGAGCACAGAAAACATTCTGCATAACTCAAAGGGTACTCTTTTATTCTTCATTTCTCCACCTGCACCTATTCACAGACTATGTGAGTACAAATTCTTATTAATGGGATAGAGGGGAAGGCACTGTTTGAGCAGGGAAGGGAGGATAAATGAGCTTGGAAATAGAACATATTGAAACTAAGCATCAAAACTTCAACACCCATTATACCAGCTGCTGAGCACAGACATAAAAAAGTATGGCCTCAGTTCCACTGTATATCCCTTGTTTTGCATTCTCCCCCACAAAAGGCAACAAGACAAGCAAAAATGCACTGACCCTTGGAAGGGATTTCTTTGCTCACGATGTCATGCTTTAGCTTGCATTAAGTTCTGCTGCCACAACGTGCTCTTATAGTTGTGTGGGTGTATTTGCAGAAGGTAGTGTTTTGTGGGTCCCGTGGCAATGACCCCACACTGGCTGGCATTCCACTCACTTCCATTCTTGCTCTGAACTTCTGATGAGAGGATCAGTCCTTTGCAATTACATACCGAGTCACTGATGAGGAAGCATGCGACACCGCACTGCAGCACCACGCATTGTGCGCCTCTCCAGTGCAGTGGCTGGACATCCTTGCTCTCGAGAGAGAGATGAGTATTAAGTGACTGTGAGGAAATGGCACAATTAAGACTTTTTTTTTCCACAGCTGAAAGTAAAGGAGTAGCACTGCAGCTGCAATGTCAAATCAGAAGGATGAATCTGAGGATTTCCTAAGAGGAAATAAAAAAGGCAAACAAAACCAAGCGACAGAACTTTCTGTTACCTGTATGTTTGGGGAACTTTGACTCAAGCTGTTCACCAAACACCACCATGGAAAGGTGATAAATTACAAATTGTATGTTCCTAACATTATAGGGCCTGTAGGATCCATGAGAAACTAGACAGGGCCACTTCGAAATACAAGAGGCTGGCCTGATGCTCCAAATACAGTGAAGCTGAGCTATTCCATTGAACTTAAAAATCCCTCTGTCCGCTCTCAGCCTCACAGCCTTTGAGCAGTAAAAGCGCCCTCTTTTCATTCGCTCCACTTGTGTTTTAAAAAACTGGCATTTCCCACTATGATAAATGTTCTATGTAATGTACATTTGGATCTTGCTCTTCTGTATGGACGTAAGCAAAAGAATTCTGTGTTCCTCCCCAGTCAGAAACACCGTTGTCAGTGCAAAAGCAATTCATCCTGCTACAACTAGGCTCTGTAATACCCCCAGCTCCCTTTCCCAGCTTTCAGCTGTGAAACCTCTCTGCCAGCATTCCCTGCACCAGACACAATGGGAAAATTTTACCAGGAAAGCATCTTTGAACACAGCACTAACCAGGACTGCTGTATTTTGCAAAGTATGTTCAAAGCATTTCAGTCTTAACACATCACGAAAGACATATCCTAGAAAATGCAAACCTAAAAATACAGGTTTCAAATAAATTGTAAAAGTTTGGTTTTCTTTTTTTTATTTATTTTCTAATATAGAATTTACTGCACTGACATGTGATGACATAGTATAAGGTGTGCTGCTGTTAACCCCGGTCTGATAAATTGCAATTGCAAACTCCATTCACTTCGCTAAGAACTTTGGTAGGGAATACAAAATGGAGCGGAAGGAGTAGTCTATCATGGCCCTAATGTTAAAAAGTAGAGCTTCCTCCTTATTTCTTATTCCAGTATTGCTATTTAAGCTCTTGTGGTCATACAGAACAGCAGTAAGATCATTCGGATGAATAGTGACAATACATGTTTTGCTTTCTCACCCCTTTTAGACTTCCTAAAAATGTGCAGTGTTCTTGCCAACATGGATCAGTGACATGTCCTCCAACATGAAGACTTACTGTGGAGATACAAACATATTTACTAATCTGGCCACCGTATCATATTTAGTGCTTGCCAACTCCACTACCATGATAAGCAAAAGAACAGCACACACCATCAAAGCCTCGAGACTAAGGAAAAGGATTAGCTTCCATTACAGGCACCTACTATCCACTTCTACTTTAGGGAAACAAAGAGAAAAGGAGGTAGGAAAATGATGATTTAGTGTCTCTACCCACTACTTAGGAAAGGCTATGAAGACAGCATGCTGAAATCCAGTGGAAAAACCTGATACCATGGAAACTGAACAAAATAATCTGCTGTTACATCTCTATCCTAGACCAGGAAGCCCTTAACCTGCAGATGCTCAGTAAATACTGGTGAGGTGTCATCACATTTCTGCCTTGTTATTCTTTCCCTTTTCCAGTCATTTTCAGAAACAAAATCCTACATTGGCTGGATATCTGGTAGGACCAAACACACCTATTACAGTGTCTTCAGATTCTCCTTAAAGAGGTGTGATGGTATACACACATTTAAATACCTGGCAAATCTGAGCATGAAGAATTATAAAACCAGGAGATAATCAGCATATCCCAAGCAATGTCTAAAGGAGGATGGCTGAATGCAGAAGCTGAAAGGCGCCTCTGAAACAAAGGGACCGATAGGCTGGAGGCAGCAGAGAAGCCTCCACCCCCCCCCGGGATCCACGGGGTGCAGATACTTAAATGACCCCCCAGATCACGATACAATGGCACTGAAGGTTGAGCGCAGCAGGAACAGCCAAGTGCTGGCACCTACTAATGCCATCGCCGCCATGAGGAATTATTTCACTGCCTTTTGTCTCATTTCTTCAAGTGTGGCTCTGCAAAAAGCGCATCTGCCAATGCAATGGTGTTACGTGCCCTATGTCAGACACCGCGCTCTGAAGGAGCACGGCCGCGTGATGTAGGCCTACTTCCCCGCACGCAAGCAACAGCCCGCACTCCTGCCCTTCTGCCCCGGCAGCACGCCCGAAGATCAGCCTCTCCCGGTCGCTGGGAGGCAGGCCCTGGAACACCGGTGGTACGGCGGCACCCTCCACGGCCCGGGGTGGCTGTCCAACCCGCTGCCGCAGGCCCGGGGCTCCCCCTAGCGACACGGCCAGGGGACGGGCCCCGGCACTCTGCCCGCGGAGGAGACGGCTCCGGGGCACCGCCCGCTGCCGCTGCCCCCATCGCGATCCGCCGACATGAGCCCGCGGCCCCCCCCTCACCTTTCCCCTTTACCCCAACGCTGCGGGCACTGAACGCGCGGCCTATGCTTTTTGAGCAGGGTGGGGCCCCGTAGCCTCGAGGGCGCGCAGCGCCCGGCGGCTGTTACTATGGCAACAGAGGCTGTGGCGACAGCCTCAGTGGTGTCACGTGGCCCCACTCTCCTCCGTGCCGCCATCTTGGAAGTTGCGTCAAGATGGTGGCGCCTGCGGCTTAAGCTCCGCCCTCTCTCCCTCCCCTCACGGGCGTGTGGGTGCCGTGGTGATGTCATCGCGCTCCCGCCACCTGAACCCGGAAGTGCGTCTTCCGTCCGCGGGCGTGCGGGGTTGGCGGCTGTGGTGATACCGGGCTGAGCCGAGCCGGCGGCGGGGAGATGGCGGCGGCCGCGGAGCTGCAGGGGAAGTACCAGAAGCTGGCTCAGGAGTACTCCAAGGTATCAAGCGCCAGAGCCCGTCCCCGATGCTCCGCAAGCGGCGGCCGCCGCCCCCCTGTCGGTGCCGCCCATCTCCAGCCGCTCTCCGAGCGCGGCGGCCGGCCGTTACGCGCCTAACGGTCGCCTCCCTGAGAGGGCAGCGCTCGGCCCCCGGGGCTGCCCGTCCCTGCCCGGGAGCGGGGGCTGGTCAGCGCTGAAACGCTGGTGTTCGAGGCAGCGTGAAGTGTTTGAGGCCCGCAGGTGGCCGCTCTTTGAGGATGAGGTGAAGGCACGGGAGGAGCGAATTCGCAGGTGGCGAGGGAATGCGGTGGTATTGTCAAGTGCCGGTTGGATAAGCTGGTGTGAGCAGCCAAGTGGCCTGGTCTGCAGCGCATCCAGTAGGACAAGTAATGAGTTCAGCTACACCAGGGCAATGTTTTTTCTTGCTTTTCCACTTCTCAGTCAAGCATGAGGCTTAGTTATCTTTTTGGATGTGAACATGGTCGTGGTCTTGTGTCTTACCCATAGGCTCTGAGTTTGCTTTAACTCTTGGTTTTGGGAGTTCAGTGATAGTACTTAACAATGGTGTTGCAGTGTCTTGGGAACGAGGACACTTGATTTCACACTTTACTGTTCCCATTCTGCTGCATCTGCCTTAGGTAACTTTGTTTCCCATTTCTGGTGCTGTTTTAACAGGGTATTTGGAAAGACTTAACGACCATAGCAAAGAATGCCTTTCCAAGGTACTAGTGCTGATATTTTTTTTTTTAAGGGTGGGGCCTTACTTAATACTGAACTCTTCATTCTTGTTCCTCCACTAAGAGGAAGAGGAGGCCATTGGTCTTGAATGGCTTTAGGAAAGCAAGCTATCATTTCTTGTATAGCCCAGCATCAGAGGTTTAGCACAAATCACTTGACTGTATTTGACACCTTTCCCTAGATTATGGAATGGTGTCTCTTTAAATACTGTTCTCCTTGGAACTGCTAAAAACCACAAACCAACCATCCCCATACAGATGTTTATTATTTTTAATGCTTCCACAAAATCACTTAAAAAAACCCAAATCATTTTGGGGCTTTGTTGGTCACAGGGTTTAGATTTCTTGTTGCTTTCTATAGTGGCTCTGCTGTACCTTGGAGATTAAAATGGCTTGGGATAAGGTAACTGACAGACTTCAGTGCTTGATTCCCAAATGAAACTTTGAAATGTAGACTTCTAACTACCACTTCTAAAAGTTCCACCTACTGGATCCTCTTTCATTTAGTATCATAGTGTCCAAAAGCTTTTATTTAACTTCATCTTGCAACTTTTGGTCTGTGATGTTTCATTGGTTCTTTGCGGGAACTATTTCTTGGTCTCATCCTACTTCTTGTGCAGTAACTTGAAGGCATTGTGGGATCCCCTTTGCAGATAACTCGCCTTTTTGTGTGAATGATCAGTTGTTCAATTGCTTCTTTATTGTGGTGGCTCTCTACTGTGGGTAGAAACGGTGAGTAGCCTTGGGAAGCGATTTGCTTGTTCACTTACTTGTGGAAGCCAAGGAGAGTGGTAGACAAGGGCTAGATAGACTCAGGGAGTGTAAAGGGAAGTGCTTGCCAAAGGATTGCATTCCCTCTCAGTTCAGAGAGCAGTCCAGAAGAAGGATATGTTTTCAGCGTCTCTTCCCCTCAAGTTGCAGCTTCTTGGCTCTCTTGTGCAACCCTGATGGAAGCAGGAGTCAGAAAAGGCTCTTTCAACTTGTGACAGCTTTTGGTGGATCAGTCTTCAGCTTGTATATCTGAGTGCAGCACAGTTGAGCTAGTTCATTCACTGTACTTGGCATGTACCTGCATTTGTAGCTGTGGCAGAAAAACGGTATATAAAAAGTACTGTATTGCTTTTTCTTGCTAGGGAAACTGTGCTTGGAAGTCTTTCTGTGGTGCTCTTGCAATCTTCTCTTGCCTTTGTAGGACTTGAGCAGCACAGTGGGAATACTGCAGGACAGAAGCCTGTGCTTAGCAATGTCAACTGACTTTTGACCTTTCAAGTTTATTCAGTCATCAGACTGAAAAGATTAGCCATTGCTGTTTTACATTGAATCTTGTCTTTTATGCGTCTGCCAGACGTATTCCCAAACACAGTACAAACCCTTCTAATTTATAGCTGGACTCAAACATGTTAAATGAATACAAACTGCCATTGAAGAAACCAGGATTCAAGCAATTATCAAGGAATGGGAAGATGGAACTATCAGTATCCTCATTGCTGCAGGGTAGAGGAAATAGGTTTCATGAGTATCACTTCTCACCACAGTGATTTTTAGCTCAGATTTCTGAACTAGATAAGTACGACTTTGAGGGCTTTTTCTTCCCTGGTTTTTATGCATTTTCCTGAAGTGTTTGTCAAGCTGTTTTCTCTGGATCATCTACCTAATAATGTATTTTTGCATTACAGTGTAGTTAAGCTCTTCTTGAAATGATATGAATTTTGACTTTGTGAGTCCTGCTTATATTCCAGAACCAGCATGAACAGTTTTGGGGAGAAAAGGGGTGACACAAAAATAACACTGAATATGAGCAAGAACCTGGTTAGTCAGGGAAGAAGTCAAAATTTTTCCGTATGTGTTCACCATTCTTCAAACTTTAATTATATTTAAATAATTATTCTTCCAAGATATTTATTAAGAATTATGTTCTAATTGACCAAAATACTCGGGTGGTGAAGTAACTTCCTATATCTTAGAAATTCTAAATATGAACTGGATACTGTTTTCAACCTGATTCTACATCTGTCTGCCTGAACAGAATATTTTAAAAAGCATGCACAACCTGTGCTCTCATGGGAGAGATTATGATGCTTCATGCACATTCTAATGAATGGCTTTTATTTATTCTTTGGTCTTGTATAGTTACTGGCATCTCTTATTTTTCAGCTTCGAGCTCAGAACCAAGTACTGAAAAAAGGGGTTGTAGATGAGCAAGCAAATTCTGCCTCTCTGAAGGTAATCTTGAAAAACCACTCATGTCAGATGTACTAAGCTGTAACAAGATAGTTAAATAGGAATACATTTTATTCAAAGTATTGTGATTAAAAGAGTAAGGAAGGAACTTGATTTCAGTAAAAGAATTTCTGTTCTGCAACTAGTCTTCACTGTTCTCTGAAGGTGTGGACTTCGTGAAAGTGGAAGTTGCTTCTTGATGATTAACTTACAGAATGAGCTACCTACTTGAGTGTGATCTTCGGGCAGCTCAAGAAAGTGAAATCTGGTTTTTAGTTTAGAAGCAATAGTTTTTGCTGCTTCAGTGTTCAAATAGCAAAGAAAGCAAATTTTTAATGTGTTTTTTTTTAATGCAATACTTCTTACTAAAAGCATGTATGAAAGTAAGTGTAAAAGTTTAATTTGAGAACTTTTTGGTCATTCAGGAGCAACTGAAGATGAAGGATCAGTCACTGAGAAAACTGCAACAAGAAATGGACAGCTTGACCTTTCGAAATCAGCAACTTGCTAAGCGGGTGGAGTTACTTCAAGACGAACTTGCATTGAGTGAAGCTAGGGGCAAGAAAAACAAGGTATGTGCTGCAGGCAAAACCCCCCTTGCTTAGCAGATGTCTGCTCCTCACCTGACCCTGATTTCTATCAGGGGTTGCTTTGTGTCAAGGGTTGAGCTGAATGTTTTTGTCAGAACTTGTGGTATTCACTGATGTTAGTGAAAATACCCACAAAACAGGTACTGATACATATGATATATACTGGCTAGTTCTGTACTCTTCTTTCTACTGTGTCAGCTAACTGATACTGAATTACTGTCTCCCTTTCCAGATATTTAAGTGTTCAAACAGCTTGGAGCTCTGTGATTAATCTATTACTATGAGGAAAACTGATCACCCCTCATCTCTTCTCTCCTTGCATTGTAATTTTGATGTCAATGGTTAACTCTTCAGACAATGATTGTAGCTTAGGTGAATCTTGTCAAATACTTTGAAATCTAAATTTTTGGCTAGTATTCCCTATGTTATTTCAAAATGACAGAATAATTTCAGTTTTGCAATCTTTGTCTGTCAAAATGATGGCTGATTAAATCTGATTATACCATGTTCTGTCTAAGCTCATCCATATCTTCTGTAAGTAACACCAGAATTCCAGGGAGAGTGTGTCTGGACTTAAAGAATTCTCAAGCATCCTTTGCTACCTTCCTCTTATGAAGAAACCCCTCTTAATTACTGTCATCTTTTCTTTTTGGTTAGCTCCCAAAGTGCCGTAGCAATCAATACTGTCATTAAAGAAATTATTCAACTGATTAGTAATACAGTCATAGAATCATAGAATAGTTAGGGTTGGAAAGGACCTTAAGATCATCAGCCTGTAGCTGTGCCTGGGATTGCTCCGACCCAGGTGTAGGACCTTGCACTTGGCATGGTTAAACCTCATGAGGTTGGCATCAGCCCACCTCACAAGAGTGTCAAGGTCCCTCTGGATGGCATTCCTTCCCTCCAGCATATCAACTGAACCACACAGCTTGTTGTCATTGGCAAACTTGCTGAGGGCGCACTCAATCCCACTGTCTATGTCAGCGACGAAGATGTTAAACAAGACCGGTCCCAACACTGATCCCTGAGGGACACCACTCGTTACTGGTCTCCAGCTGGACATTGAGCCATTGACCACAACTCTTTGTGTGCGGCCATCCAGCCAGTTCTTTATCCACCGAGTGGTCCATTCATCAAATTGATGTCTCTCCAATTTAGAGACAAGAATGTCGTGTGGGACAGTGTCGAACGCTTTACACAAGTCCAGGTAGATGACTTCAACTGCTTTACCGCTGTCCATCAGATCTGTAACCCCGTCATAGAATGCCACCAAATTGGTCAGGCAGGATTTCCCCTTAGTGAAGCCATGCTGGCTGTCACCAAGCACCTTGTTGATTTTCATGTGCCTTAGCATGCCTTCCAGGAGAATCTGCTCCAAGATTTTGCCAGGCACAGAGGTGAGACTGACTGCTCTATAATTCCCTGGGTCATCCATTTTCCCCTTCTTGAAAATGGGGGCTATATTTCCCTTTTTCCAGTCTTCGGGAACTTAATCTTCCTTACTTTTTCGCTAAGGTCTTGTGCTTTTTTTTTTTGCTATCCAGTACCTTGACAAGCATAGTACCTCTGACTTACATTGTTCATGCACTATAGTAGATTGTTCTCCAAAATGCAGTTTGATCGTTCTTTTATCTCATACTAAGTTACTGCTTTGCTAGACAGGCTTCCGTATTTTGAAGGACCTCAGCCTGGCTTAAGTAGCTTTGCAAGTCATTGCCACTGACTGACTTTCATGGTGATGCAAGCACTTGAAGTTCAGTATTAAGTTTAAATGTAAATAGCCTCCCTTTTGTTTGGTACTTCCTTTGGTCAGCAGTGTGGTTGAGAAAAGTAGTGTGGAATTCACTGGTGGTCTCTGGGTCTTTTGAATGAAATGGGTGAAAAATGAGGAAACAGTTGGCAGAGAGATGTGTGTATTATCAGAGTAGATGGTGGACAGTGAAGACCTTGTGTTTGCCAGTGCCACCTTGTGCTACAGCCTGCTGTGAGGTAGTGTGCTTTCAGTGATTATTGCTGGTCCCTCCTGAGGTCAGACCAGCTTAGATGTGGACACTTGGTGTGGGCAGCTGTGCCTTACACACAGCTATCAAACCAAATAAGCCTGTGTGTGTACAGTTTAGTATTGCTGAGTGTAGAATCATGGAAGAGTCAAATTATGTCAAATGGACACCTGCCCATACAAGTCATTTCATGCATGTGAATGTGATGCCTGAGTAGAGGCTTTCCTGAGTCGTTATCGAGTTAGCATTCTACCACTATACAGTAACAAAAGTGTGAAGAAAAGGTGCTGGTTTTAGGCTCATCCTTTGTGTGGTATGTGTACCTTTTGAAATATTAGTTAATGTATGTAACAGATACATATATATATACACACACTCATGTTGCATCTATTGGGAATTAGCAATGGGAAGTGTTTTTCATATACTTGGGGCTGGGCTTTGGAGTACCCCGAGAGACTTGGAGATCACAAATGCATTTTCCTTTTTAGAAAAGTGCAGAATCCTCATCTCAGTTGAGTCAAGAGCAGAAAAGTGTCTTCAATGAAGATCTTCAGAAGAAGATAGAAGAGAATGAACGACTACATATACTTGTGAGTGAAACTATTTTTAGTCTTTCTTTTTAGTTCAGAAAACTGGTCATGCAAAGAAAAATAAAGAAAAAGCCATCTGAAAACTATTGGGTTCAGAAGCTTAGTTATATACAAAACAGTGGATTAGAGTGGATAGCTTGTTTATAAAGGTGTTCACTGTGCAAATGAGAAAGTTTTTTGACTTTGGATTCTTAAGACAGTATGTGTAATAACTCTTGTAATAGGTGTTTTCTCATTTAGATTTGTGACTTTTGGTGACACTTTGCTACTCTACTGAAAATAGCCATATAGTTGGTACTGGGTGGAAACCTTTTAGTTCAGTAACCGTTTCAGGATTGCCTTAAGGCTTAAAATATTTTCTCCAAGCTGCCATAATTGAGTTAGGATTCTTTTACTGAAATTAATGCATTTCACTTTGGTTTTAGAAACCTTGAGGGAAGCTTTATGGCTGAAGTCTAATTTTTCAGGTGTCTATTATTAATCAGCAATATATTTAAGGAGTGCTTGGTGCTACAAAATCTTAGTAACCACAAAGTGCTTTGTTCCTGAATCTTTTTCTGTAAATATCATAATAAAGTTTCTGTTTGTCTGAAATCTAGTACTTGCTATTAACCTGGACTGGCTAATTAAACCAGTGTAAACTCATAAGACTAGATTCTGTAGTAAAGTGGAACTTTCTAAGGACTATGCTTTTCTTCTTTTAGTTCTTTGAAGCAGATGAACAGCATAAACGTTTAGAAGCAGAGCTGAGAACTAGACTTGAAGTTCTGGAAACTGATGCTGCCCAGCATCAAACTGTGGTGGACAGTTTAACGAGGAAATACACAGATACTATAGAAAAGCTGCAGAATGATAAAACCAAATTAGAAGTAAGGAGTCTTTCCTCTTACTTGCAAGTTTTGAAATGAAATGTCTTGCTGTGTCAGTACTTACAATGTAAGATTATCTTCTTGCATAAAGATCAAGTCTCAGACACTAGAAAGAGAAGCTAAGGACTGTAGGCTTCGAACCGAAGAATGGTAAGTGTTTTTATTTAATATAATGAAAAAATGATTTAAAGAAATAACTGCTGTGAAATATTAACTGGATTATTTTTAGAGAATACTACCTTAAAAATAATAAGGACTATTAACTCAAAATACTGGGCAACAGCACATTAACACCAAGACTGTCCAGGTTTCCTTCTGCTGAGTATGTAGCTAGACAATCGATTCCACAGATTCAGCTTTCAGTAAGAGCAGCTTTGTTGCCAAGCTATTTTAAGTAGCAGTGAAGTTGATGGAAGCTTGGAGACTTTATTTCTAATGAAATACTATAAAATGTAGAGAAACTATTGAACTTGTATGAAACAAAAGTGCAGTTGTTTCTAAAAACAAAGCTTGGGTAAAGTATGCTGAGTCAACTGACTGAAAAGTGTTTCAAAAGTCTCTCTCTACCTCAAAAGCTTCTTGAACAATTGCTTTTGCTTTTGCTTCCCCTTCAGCTAGAATATTTGGCAGGAGGGGAAACATGAAGAAAGAACTCCTTTACCTGAAAGGAGCATAGAGTGAGGAGATTGCTGGTCTTTTCTCCTAAGTAACAAGTGTTAGGACAAGAGATAATGGCCTCAAGCTGCACGAGGGGAGATTTGTACTGGATATAAGGAAAAACTTTTCCCCAGAAAGGCAGTCAGGCATTGGAACAGGCTGTCCAGGGCAGTGGTGGAGTCACCGTCCCTGGAAGCATTCACGAACTGCGTAGGCAAGGTTAGTGACATGGCTTAATGGGGGCCTTGGTAGTGCTGGCCTTAGTGACATGGCTTAATGGGGGTCTTGGTAGTGCTGGGGTAATGGTTGGAGTTGATCTCAAAGGTGAATTCCAACCTAGTTGGTTCTGTGATTTAATACTTGAAAGCTTTTGTTGAAGGATTGTATTGCTTTTGAAATACCTTCTTTGTCTGGAAGACAAGTTGTAGAAAATGGAAAGAATTTGAGGACTGAGCAAATCAAATTAAGTTCATTGTTGAAGTGTGTTTTTTAAAGATGTATGTGCAGTATAGATATTTAATGTAATGGGTAAAAAAATGTAGTGAATGATCAGATGAAGAGTTCCTTCTTTCAGATGGCAACCTTGAAGTGTGTATTTTGATTATTTTGATAGATGTGAAAGATACATTAATTCCAATAAATGTGCTCTAGCACAGGTCTGGGTTTCACTAAGAATGACTTGCAGAAGAGGGTGAAAGCTGTGTTTTGCTGCTGTTTGCTTTTCTGTGGTGTTTGAAACACAGCGTAGTCTTAATTTGCTACTATTCCATTCAGAGCTTGTCTGTCGTGTTCCGTGATGACTGGGTAATTAATATAATTGTAAGAAATTGTCTGTACCATTTAAGAAAGGAGGCTTTTAAAAAATTATAAAGCCTGACACTTCATTATTTTAAACACCGAAATCAGTATCTGATGAACACGGGACAGAAGATGTCTTTGAGAGTACTGCTCTTCTGTTTTCCCTGCTTGTTTAGGGTAAGGGATCCATTTGCCTCTGATGCCCATGCTTTATTCAGGAAAGCAGGGGATATGAGACTTGACAGCCTGCATGCCTTGAAAATTAAAGGGCAGAATGTAAAACAGTACTTACCAAACTACTTGTTTGTCGTTCCTTTATAGTACAAAAGGAAACATCCATGCCTCTGCAGTTTGAGTTTTCCTATCGTGTCCAGTGCTACTGTGATTCATGCTGTACAGCATCTATGCAATTTTGGAGCTGCTGTTCAAGAAAAATGTTTGCTAATGTGCACAAACTACTTTTTAGCCTGCTTCTTCATATCTTGCTTGTTTATTTTGAGTTCTTTTTACTTGTTAGTACTGATAAATTTTCACGTATCAAATGTGTTTGTAAAAAAGGAGAAACTGTCACTTTGACACCTTCCCCCCACCCTCCACTATATGTGCAGGAGTTCTAGATGTCAAACGGGAAGCAAAACAGTGAAGAATTTGGGGGCCTAAGTTGGGTAAGGTGTGGAATTTGGTATGGATCAATATACAGTAATTTTTGTTAACATGCATATAATGCTGCGGTATGTTACTGTTCATTTCAAGAATCTATATAAATGATATTGGTGATCTTAACTTAGGTTTGCATCTATATACACAATCAAATGCAAGTGAAGTGGATTTAGGGAAAAATCACTTGAGAATGCATCAGAAACGTACTTGCCAGGTCTCTGGTAGTGGGCCATATCATAGTAGTATTTAAATATTGGGCCTTTAAAAGCTTGCGAGGTACTTCTAATAGTGATGTGACATAGTTAAATGAATTATTGACAGCTTGCATATTTGAATACCACATTGCTTATATAGTAACTAATTTAAAGATCCTTTTGTATTCCCATTCAAATTCCAGTAGAAAAGAGCATCTTCATATAGCTCATATGATAATAGCAGAATTGGAGTATAATGTAAAGGTTAACTCTGAAGTAAGTTGTGCTTCTGAAGGATGGGCCTTGTGATTTACATCAATTTATTGCATCTTTCACAGCATATGTTAGGGATTAAAATACATTAAATATGACATAAAGGAAGAAAAACAATTCCTGCTGTCTTATTTCTACTTAACTTCTAGAAAGAGACAGATACCTGTACGTTCAAGGGATCCTTATGGTAAGCTGTGGTGTTGGTGATACAAATTAAATTTTGAAGGATTCCAATGTGTGTGTGTGTGGTTTTTTTGTTTGTCTTTTTGTTATTTAGCCAGCAACAGTTAAAGAATCTTCAAGCAGCTTTGGGCAGTAGACTGGAAGAATCTCTGTGCATAATCAATGAAAAAGTCCCTTTTAATGACACAAGTACGTATTGTATTGCTTTGGTCTGTGTTTCTTGTTTAATTTTGGGTGTCCATCTGGAGGCAAGTACTCCTTATGAATTAAAACATATTAGCTGTAAGAAGTGTTGGATATCTGAACAGACACTTGGTAATTGTAGTAAGTAGTCATAATAACTAATCTTGTTTAATAATCTTAAAATAACAAGTTTTTATATTTTTATTTATCTATACCTAATGAAAACCAAAACTTCTGAAGGCTTTTGTGTAATTTACTACTTGTCTTGATTAGTGTTGACAGAATATAGTAAAAGATGAAGGAACATTGTCAATTTACTGGTTTCTCCACAAAGATTTCTTCAGCTACTCATCTCAAAGAGTATTATTTTTGGCAAGGTATATTCAAGAGTTAGAATAAATTAAAATGGGGATAAACTAATGGCTGCAGAGACATTGACTTTAATTAATTCATTAATGGGACATTGCACCAATAATGCTCTATACTTAGTACTAGTGGGAAGTGTGTCAGCATGCCTCATCTCTGATCAGAGAGCACCCACACTAGTTCCTGTCCATGGTTTGTCTGGGACTTGTTCATCTTTTCTGAAGACTCTTCATTAGGGACTGTAGTGGTAGGACAAGGGGTAATGGGTTAAAACTTAAACAGGGGAAGTTTAGATTGGATATAAGGAGGAAATTCTTTCCTGTTGGGGTGGTGAGGCACTGGAATAGGTTGTCCAGGGAGGCTGTGAATGCTCCATCCCTGGCAGTGTTCAAAGCCAGGTTGGACGAGGCCTTGGGTGATACAATTTAGTGTGAGGTGTCCCTGCCCATGGCAGGGGGGTTGGAACTTGATGATCTTAAGGTCCTTTCCAACCCTAACTATTCTATGATTCTATGATTCTAAGAAAAAACGCGCTTTGAATTTGGGGACTTATACCAGAAGCAGCATTCTTTTCAGCTTCCTTTACAACTGCTACTAGGTAGATTGAAGCGCAGTCTTAACTTGTAGTTAAGAGTGCTCAGCCTTTGCACTTCTTTGGTGCAAGAATTGATTAGTATGTACTAGGTCAGTGCTGTGTAGTGGATGCTTTTGTAAATAGCTTGAACACGAGATTTTAGATGGCCAGGCAGCAGTCAGTACTCTTTGGTAGTGAGGCTAGGAAGACCTGGAATGGTGAAAAAGCTCAAAGTAGTGGAGAAGAAGCAGAGAAGTGAAAATAGGCTGCTGAATTTCTAGTAGGTTTTATTGGTAGCCTTTGCATTTTCCATTCAGTTTAAAACTTGCTGACAACGTTTTGAACAGCTTTAGATTCTCTAAAAGCTGATCTGGCAGGTGCTGCAGGAGTGAGGCTTCCAAGTTCTCCACTGGGTTGGCAATTGAGTGAGTCTTGGCTTAGAAACACCAGATCATCTTCTCTCTTTAGGAAATGTTGACCCTCATATAGCATGTTATGCTTAGGTGTTGATGCCTTCAGTTGATACCCTCTTCACTTCTTTCCTCTCACAAAGATCACTTTGCCTGGCATCTGCTGCCTATTTCTGCTTCACTGGCTTCTTTTTCTGTTTGTTTTTGGGTTTTTTTTACGGGTGGTTATCATTGTAGCAAGAACTTTGATGCAAATAATTTATCTGCTTAATAGCATAATGTTTTTGCTTGTGTAGAAAACACTGGAAATAGTGGAGAGATCATTACTGATGGAAGAGTGAAAGAAAGTCAGGAAATGTTTATCTGCTATGGATTTCAACTTACTTGTTACTCTGCAGTTGGTTTTAAGTGTAACTGGCAGCTGGCTTCAGTTTAACAATAAAATGACTTGCTGAATGCTAAGCATAATCTTGAGAGTAGAAACATGACAAGAAAGATGTTCTAAAGCATTTTACTTAGGAGTAGGATTTGGTAAATTTGGACAGTTGTTTGTTCTCAGTACAACTACTTCCAATGTGTTAACTGCCGAATGTGAATGATACAAAAGGAATGCATGTGGACTTTAAACTGAAGTGGTTATTATTCCATTTAATTGAGGACAGATGTGATTGCTTTAAATCTGTAAGACTTTCTAAGCTGTTCTCTAGGTACAAATATCTGTCTAGGTCTTTAAAACTTGTGCCCCCCCTGTAACTGAATAATTCTAGTTGCTCTAACTGGAACAGAATGCTGAAATGTGGAGAGTACATCTTATTCTTAATTATGAACAAATCAACTATATGCAGGAGCTTTGTTTTTTAAATGTACAAACCATGAAAAACATACATTCAGATTGTCTGATGGTACCTGGGATGTGAACGAAATTTGAAGATCATCTTGCATTCCTTAAAGGTTTTTAGAAACTAACTTTTTATTCTTACCAGTGATGAATACTGTTCTTTTGGGCATGAGGATTCTGCTCTCAAATTCAGGGTGTTCAGATGGTTAAATAAGGCTTGTAATCGGAGACAAGTATGGAAGTGCTATCTCCACCTAGTCACAATAACAGCTCTTAAAGATGTGTATGCCCGATTTATTGAAGCCAATTGTTTGTATCTTTTTAGTTCATATTACTTACATGAACTGTAATATTGCTGCAATGAAACTTCATTTAAAAAAAAAACCCAACCACCGTTTACCAATAATTGTTTCTTAAAATACCATGATGTAATAAGTGCATATTTTTGTCTTGTAGGATCTAGCAGATACAATGCTCTGAATGTACCTTTACACAACAGAAGATACCAGGTAAGCACTTTCTGTGGCTTTGTATGTGATGACGCAGCTTTCTGCACAGATGCTGAATAAAACCAGTCATTTTAGTGACATGAAATTGGCAAAGATAGGCTACCTTCCTACTGTCATGATATTCCAATGGAATTTCTGTCCACAGAGCCTCTGTGCTTTTCAGAATGTAATCTATACTGCTTTTGTATTGAAGTCAAGTTGTCTGCTTATCTTGCTTCACTAGAGCTAATCTATTGAATTCTGGCTAATGATCACTGTAGGTGTTTAGGAAGGCATGCCTTTCTAAAAAGAATGGCAAAAAGGTTTAATATTTGTCTCTTGGTAAAGTTATATGAAGAATTATTTTACTAGGCCAGCTTGCAGTAACTTAGGACTTAAACATTTCATTTTTAAAGTTGGTTAAAACTATGTTAGCTTAAAGCTTTTTGTGAAAAAGAAGGGAGTTTGGGTGTCTTAAATTACATTTTCCACAAACTGAGCTTCTTTAGTCACATCACTTGAGTCCCAGAGAATGTTTGTATTTGTAAACTGGACATTGGTGTGTAGGCTGTTAATACCATGTTAGTCAGTGTTACTTGCCACTAGTCATAATCCTTTTAAGGAATAAATCATGTATCTTTGAGAACTCTTAATGGTTTGTGTACATTTTATAGGATATTTCTTGCCAGAGCACCTCTTACTTGCAGCCAAATCACCCTTATTAATGTAAATGTTATTTTAAACCGAGACAGTTTTTGTTCGTTTATGTAACTTAGATTTCCTTGATAATGTGGTTTGCTCAGTATTCAAAAATGAGGATTAGTTTTCTGTGAGTAGCTATATATATTTAAGCTTTTTTTGCAGTAGTGAATCGAATGCCTTGATGCAGTCAAAATTTTCCTGTTTTGCTGCCACTGAGGATGGGTTCTGCAGAACTGTTTTTTTTTTCTCTTTTCTTCTACGATATGCCTCGAACCTTCAAGTTAGTACATTGAGATGCCACTGTAGAAAGACTTAAGGTAGCTGCTTTCTCCTTTCTTTAGAAGTGCTTACAAAGAGACCTTGTTCCTAGTATGTCTGCTGTGGGAACAGGTGACCCAATGAGCAGTTTTGTGATGGAAGTAGCCTTAAATTAACCTGCTGCTGAGTTCTAAGAAAAATTTGAATAACTGCATGAGGAGTTTCTCATTTTACTGTTTTCTGCTAGCAGTGTATCAGCCAGCCTCATGCTTAAGGATCTACAGCCTTGAAAATGCTCCAGGACAGATTTTTATGACTGACTTTGCCAGCAGAGGCAAAATACTAGTGCATTAGCACAGGCTGCAGTGTAAAGGATAGCAAATCAGCAATGTTGTCTGTTTTCCTTCTTTGCATAGTTAATTAACATACACAAACTGAGTATAATGGCTGCATTAATTACTTACCAACATTCCTGATCCATAATCAAGATTCACTTATTTAACACTTCATTAAAGTATTACGAATACATCTCTGAAGGATAAGTCATTCTTGGCTGAAATGTCACTTTAACCTTATTCTCTCCTCTGTAAATCACAAGAGCATGGTTTTCTTCTTTGACTTTGCTTTTTCAGACTGTTCTATTTTGGATTCATTTCTTGAATACTTTCCTACTGCACTAAAGCCACAGAACAGCCTTATTCATGAGCAGCAGCTCAGTTGTATCCAGGACAGAATAAGAACTAAGTGTTACTAGTTAGAAGCAGACACCTTTTATTCTGACTGAAAACCTCATTGGTTTTTACTAATTAAGTTAGGTTTCCTAACAACCAAGTGTTACAAATTTCTTAACTATCACCACACTGAAAGAACTGAGCTGTTGTCAGCGATTAGTCTCCTGGTCTTTAGAAATCTTAATTTCAAGGACGATTTCTGTAGTTGTACTAACCTCTAAGTGTTCTTGTGGCTTGTAGTTTGAGAAATGCAGCAGAAGGAAAGCATACCCTTCTGTGTGGCATTGTAGTTTATTCATAAGCTTTAAAAGTGAAGTTAAAGATAATTACAACTATGTATTTTAGGCTGAACTAGTAAAAGAAATCATTAATAGATTTACACTTTTTTTTCGTATTTAGATAGGTATATGTCAAGTATAATCATCTTATAACTGTCTTTACAGCTTAAGTTGCGAGACCTTGCTGGCCAGGCACTAGCTTTTGTTCAAGAACTTGTAACAGCTCTTCTGAACTTCCATACGTACACTGAACAGAAGGTCCAGATCTTTCCCATTGATTCTGCAACAGACACTATATCACCGTTAAATCAGAAGGTAAAGCTTACAGATTTCAGTTACAAGTTTATCAGTTATGTGCACCTTCATGTGTGAATGATCTTAGTCATGCAACTTTCTGCCACCTCTACTGGAGTGCTGCGAGTGTGTTCCTATGGGGCAGCCTCTCCTGCATGAGGAGTCTTTTTCTATTGAGTGAATTCTCTGAATGCAGGTAAATGTGTAGCTGCAGAGAATCCTTTTCCCCTGTGCCTCTGCTACAAAAGCAATATGATAGTCAAATCAAGGCTTTGCTTTTTAAGTGTTAAATTTAAGTGCACTTGTCAAAAGTTCAGGTGATTTATTTGAAAATACACAAATATTGCACTGCTAAATAGATGCTTGTCTTTGTTAATGTACTGGGGCATGGCAGATGTTGGCATAGGAGGTCTTGCGTAAAGTGAAGTAAACTGGATGTATGATAGACTTATGAAGGAAAGAACTTGGACTGTGTTCCCTTGTCAAAACCAACTTTATAATCTGATTTGGGGCTATTTGTAAGACCTTTTCTGTAAGTGTTCTGAAACTTCAAGTCTCTAAAGTAAGTTGAAATTATTAGGAGAAACCTGGCCTGTCTCTTCCCGTGCAACCCCATGGGAAGACTTTTCTGAGAGTATCATTTAGAGCTGTTGAGCTGAATCTGTTGCCTTTCTATGCCGTGAAGCATGGAAAAGAACTTTTTGTACAAAATTGGTTTAACATCAGAGTAGTTGACTTCATAGTGCAAGTAGAGCTATGTTGCTGAATGGCAGTATTTTCTAATTGAGATTATAATTTCAGTGCAGTTGTTTGTAGGGCTCAGACTTGAGAGACCAAGATGAATGTGACTTGCATTCATCAAGTGGTGCAATGCGTGTACTGACAATGTTAACTATCATTAAACTTTCTTGTTCTTAAGAATCCCTCCTTTAATCTCTTTGCAGATGAAAAATACACTTGAAAAGGTGTTTATCCACTAGAGAGATCACACTCTATTTGTCTTCTCAGTTGTTTATACTATTTGAATCAAGAGTCCACTTTCACAAGAGATTCCACATAGATCTTAGTTTAAGAACGTAATTTTCTTGCTTCCGTTACCATAGTCAAACTGGCAAATCTTCCTTGTGAAAACTATGCAGCTTTGCCATCTTCCAAATTCTGTGGGGCAGGATCTGTGTCTTGCTTATGTAGCCCAGTGTGGTGACTGGATTCTGCAGATACTACAGCAGTTTACACTAAGGGAATAAAACCAGGTTTCTTAGGCATCACTTCTTGCACAATTTTCTTATTGTCCTAGTCAACATTTCTTTGTTGCTTTTCAGCAGAGAACTGATTCCACACAGCTGAAACACGCAACTCTGTCAGAACTGTAATTTGATTCTCCTTTTCTGATAATGGACTTTGATTCAGTAGTTAAGGCTTTGTTTGTGTTCATAATTATGTATCTTCTAGTCTGCCCCACACTGTATTCATGGCCTAATTGCCCCAGTGCATGCTACCTCTCAGGCCTTTTGCTGTGACTTCCCAGCAGTGAAATATCATTTATTGCTCATTGAAGCTGCTGTTGCCCCAGTATTTTTGATTAATTTATCTGTTTGCTTGGCAAGTGATCTTAGTGTGATCTTGGCTCCTCCACCAAGTGGTTCAAAACCTCTCCCTTAATGTGGTAGAGAAAATGAGACAAGTGCCAGGTAGTGGCTTAGCAGAATTGCACTGATTTATTTTTCCCCAACTCCAGGTCTTGTCTGGTGCTTTCAAGCTATTTTCCCCACCAAACATTCAAAGTAGATGTGGACAATTCCCTTCCAGGTTCAAGTATTCCTTTTCTCTTTAAGTATTGGATTGCTGGGTTCTGCTGGGTCTTCAGCATTGTGCCAGATAACTCCAGTCCTCTCTCTTGCAACAGAAGTCAGGAGCACTCTGCATGTGTTATTTCTTCCTCCTCAGATTTAGGAATTTTCCCTAATTCCATCCAGATTTGTGCATGCCTGAATGAGAGCTTGGCATCATTCTTTCTTGTTAACACTGTGTTACTACACTGTAATAATAGAAGGAATTAAATTTTCTCATACCCTATTTGCCTGGGATCTTTAGCTATTATTGTGGTTTAAATAATCAAAGGTGAAGGTATCTTTCTGTGGGGTGAAATAAAAACCAAGGTCACTTTTGACTACCTATGCTGATCTGTGGAGCAAGCTTTTTGTAATGCTGTGGTATCACAATTGAAAGCTGATGGCACTGTTAAGTTTTATACATAAGAGTAAATGCTGTTGCTCTCGGGTATACTTTTTTGAAGGTGAAATTAGCCACAAAATTTACTTAAGCAGTTTTTAGCCAACTCGGGCAGTTCTATGAGGCTGAAATTTCAGAACAGCCCAAACCTGTCACAGTTCTTGAAAGTAAAAATTTTCCCTTTGATTAGTTACTGCTCCATCATTTGCATTGGCATAACCATGTTTTGACCCATGTTGAAGACTGGATACAGGTAAAGATTAAAATTAATCTCTTGCTCTCAGTTTTAACTTTTAGTTCTTCAATACTTTCCACAGCATAGCTGTGCAAATCAAATGTTTGTGCTGATGTACAGGGCAAGGGCTGAAAGACAAACAACAGCTGGGAGAAAGGTAGGGTAGGTTATTCTGGAGGCTTAATGGTGCATGGATTTAGCCTTAATTTCATGGAGTTGAGGAAGGAATGCCAAGAATGTTTAAACTTAAAAAGCAAGGGTTTGGTGTGCTCTGCATGGCAGTTAAAATGAGAGAGGGTGCTGTGGCAAAGCCCTAGGTGGGGTTTTGCCTGGACTTCCATTGCAGTCTTCACTGTTTCTCACTGTCCCTCAAGATTTATGTTTGTGTGTCCTGTAGAAGAGGTTGCTGTACATCACTTGACTATTACGTCTTATTATTGACATCCTGGGGATCACTTAAAATGCAGGAGCTTTGCTAAAGCAGGCTGCTCACTTGTTAACATGAAACAGTTTGCAAGAGCCTTCAGCAAGCACCATTTAAAAACCTTTCTGTACTCAGTTCTCACAGTATCTTCATGAAAATGCTTCCTATGTTCGCCCTCTGGAGGAAGGAATGCACCACTTGTTTGAGAGCATTACAGAAGATACCGTGACCGTCCTGGTAAGATTTCTTGGGTTTACTATAGAAGAAAGATTTTTACAGAGCAAAAATATTTATGTGTTTGTTCTTCCTTTCAGGAAACAGCTGTGAAATTGAAGGGCTTCTCAGAACACTTAGCTTCCTACCTAGGCTTTTTGAGAAAGATTCTTCCTTATCAATTGAAAAGGTACTTTTGATTTGATAGATTAAATTAAAGGGGCACTTAAGTGTCAGGCACGCAGCATTATTGACATCAACAATGCAAATACCAAGTCAACCTTCAAAGCACATTGTGTTAAAAGGCAGAATCTTTAATTTTTTATTTCCTGCTGGTTTTTGAGGCTTTAGGTTATGCATGTGTTTACTGGCCATTAAAGCTAAAGATGTGTATTTTAAAGCCTTTTTTCCCCCTCTCACAGATGAGACTTTAATGAAAGCTGAACAGATTTTAATGTTTCTTAATATTGTTCAATAGCAGTGATACTATTCAGGGATGATACACTGAAACTGCTCATTTCTTCAGCCTGTCTGAAGATTATTTGTCATACAGTAAATACAGCAATGTGGTAAAACTTGGCCAGATGCACATCCCTTCTGCTGTGAAAATCTTTGTTCTGGAGTGGATCAAAGGGAAGAGATTTACCAATGTAAAGGGCTACTTGAAGAGAGGTTTTGGATTAAGGAAGGAGAAAAAGCTTGTTTTATGCTGCCTTTGTACCTGTTCTCCTGCTCCCTAGGAAGCAAAAGGTAAATTATATGTAGTAGAGGAAAAAGCCTTTAAACTGATGCAATCAGTTCCTTGCTGTGAGTGTAAACCATTCCTTAGGCCTGGAGGCCCTAAGACAAGGGGTAGTACACACACAGAGTAATTTTCATGTATTGCTAGGTTACTTCTATATGTTAACCTTTCTAAAATAAATTCCCAGTCCATTGTTGCTTAGGAGTAGGGATGTAGACAACACTGGTAATTACTTCAAAAGTCATGAGCTTGTTTTTTTTGTTTTTTAAGATACTTTCTCACTTCTTAAAAAAAAAATAAATTCATATGTTCCTAGTTTGGAAGAAGAGTGTGAGTCTTCTCTTTGCACAGCTGCTTTAAGAGCCAGAAATATGGAGCTACACAGAGACATGAAAAGGTTGACTGCAGTCTTTGAGAAGCTACATACATACGTTAGTCTTCTTGTGTTACCAAGTAAGTGTCAGTTTTGGCTCAGTTGGTTACATCGAGGCTGGAAGGTACTAGCTTTTCCTTTTGGACTAGTATTGAGGTTCTTGGGGGTTTGTTTGGGGGGTTGTTTTGGGTTGGGTTTTTTTTTGCATGTGTGTGTTTTTTGTTTTTTTAAACCATACACACAATAAACTACTTCTGTGATAGAAGCAAAAATGATTAATGCTACTCTTTAGGTACAGTCTAAACTATGAGGCAAGTGAGTTTAGCCTCACAGCTGAACTTTGTGGCTTGGAGCCTGAGTGTACTCCAGAGTGGTTTTTCTTTTATGCTCCACACTCTTCCTTCTGGCTAGACACGAGCATGGTGCAGGCCTGGAAATTAGCAAGCAGTCACATGTACCACATTTTAGATAGTCATAGTTAACTGTAGAGGAGAAGTAATGACTGTGGATTTTTATAGTATGATTGACAGTGTGTCTTTTGTCATCCTTTAATCATGTAGCTAGTGAACTATACTTTATTACTAACTGCCCTTCCAGCTCCTTCTGTTCATAAGGTTATTAAATTACAGCTCTCATGGAAATGACAAAAATTGGGTAAAACCTGTGTGTGTATGTATGTGGGGAAACTACCTCCAAGTGCGTACTGTAAAGAACAAGGAAACAGTTAGTATGTAGCTTCAGGTTATTTCAGTCTTCACTCTTTAGAAGGACCCAGATAGTTCTTTCTACAGCAGTGAATATGTAAATCTTTCTGCATGTGTAATTGTTTTTTGAGACCAAAAGAGATGATATTTGTAAAATCTGACTGAAACTGGGGAAACTTGGAAGTCTTTTACCTGCCTACTCTGTCAAAATCTGGTATATCTGCTTTAGAGATTGAAGTAAAATCTCTTTATGATTCTCATACCCCATGGAAATGTTTCCAGTAGATGGAAATTGGATTACTTTCAAAGCCAACTCTTCATTCAGGGTCAAATCTTAGTGGTGTTTTTCCTTCCTACATTACACTCTTAGGTACAAAACCAGAAGGACTTCTTAGGACAAATTACAACTTGGTGTTTACAAACATTGCTGCAAGTCTTCATGGATTTCATGACATTTTAAAAGGTGAGAGTACAGGAGTACTGTTATGTTTCAGCTCTGTTTCTTTCTGTTCAACGTAGCACACATATTCTGTCTGTAACAGTGTTGTATGTATAATATGTGATAAAACTGGTTTGTTTTGCCTTTAGAAACTAAGATAAGAAACCAAACCTACTAATTACTTGTTTTGGACATGCATGCATCTTTTTCACTCCTGTTCTGTTAGATTTGCTCTTCTAAGTTGCTAGAATGCTTAATTGTGATGCTCTAGATCTTCCTGAGCAGTATCACTTTACTTTCTAAACTTCATTGATCTAGTGGAAATAGGCATACATGTACATATTTTCCCCCTGCTTGCATACTATTGACATAGAACCTGCCTTCAAAGTGGAATTTTAGCTTACTGTGTATAGGTTTATTACTATTTTTGAACATGAATGTATAACCAAAGCTTACAAAGAAGGCTGTGTTCTTTTTGAAACTTAAGCCATTTTCAAGGAGAAACTTATCTTCCTTTTATCAAGGAGTTTTACAGAAAATGTGTTACATGCTAGAATTTCTGTACCATATAGCACTTCCCAGGGAGAAAATAATCCCTATAGGTGAATTGTTTTATTACTAGTCAACTGTTTACACATTAAGCTTTTATAATTTTAAGCAAAATTGAGAGATTTTTTTGTTTATAACATCAATAGCATAACTCCATTTTTAAGAGTCCCTGTTTTAAAAAAAGATTAGAGATTGTCCCTCTAACAAAATGAGACACACCCAGAGTTTTATAGCATAGATAAGTTGATTGAAAAATACCTTGTACCTTTTAACACAGTATAACGTAAAATCAACCCAGGTTATACTTTACTTCGCTTTTCTTTATTTCCTTTGTAAAAGCACTGAGGAAAACTCATTAGAATTCATTAGCTAGCAACAGAAATGTTGTACTTAACATCTCACACTCCCATACTCCAGAATGCTTGATTTGTCCCTTCTCTCCTTCTTTCCCAACCCAAACTAATTTCCAGCTGCTTAAGCATGCCTGAAATGGTAATTTTTGGTGGTGGTGACCTGGGATTTCTCCAGTCTGCAGCAACAGTACTTTATTGTCAAATAAAGTTGAAATTAATTAGTGTATTTAAGATATCTTTTCTTTTTCTAGATATTTCCAAGCACTACAGTCAGAAAGCTACTTTAGAACAAGATGTTCCAACTGCCACACAGAAACTCATAACTACAAATGACTGTATTTTATCCTCTGTTGCTGCTTTAACAAATGGAGCAGGCAAGGTAATGGATTTTTTTGTTTCTATAAAATGCCCTGCCTTGTGTAGGTTTAGAAAAATCCCCACAACTTAAGTAAATGATTTGGAAAATCTGTGTTTGCCTCTGATACTAATAATTTATCAGGTGTGTTCTGAGGTATTTTCAGGCTACAAGTTAAAAACAACTGAATGGGGGATAAAAGTAGGAGCTGTGGAGAGGATGCTTTACATTCGAGAGGTCTAAGTTATGTGGAAGAGTCTGTAGCCTGCTTGAAATTCTCATTGTGAAGTCCTGTTTCACTCAATACTTGTTTTTCTCTTGAAAGAGTAATTGCCCCGATGAATCATTCTGGCCAACTTCATTCAAAAAGTGACTTTTCCTGATCTGTCTAGATTGCCTCGTTCTTCAGCAACAACTTGGATCACTTCACTGCTTCACTGAGCTATGGCCCTAAAGGAGGAACAGAGTTCATCAGCCCTCTTTCAGCTGAGTGTATGCTGCAGTACAAGAAAAAGGCGGTTGCTTACATGAAGTCTTTGAAGAAGGTTTGTTCAGCTGTCATGCTTGCACAGAGAGGAAACAATTCTGTTGATAATTGGTTTTGCTAAAGAGAATACAAACTAAGGGTTTTCAGTATTTGGAATGGATGAGATTCTTTGAATGAGAATCTTTGGCTGAGTTAAAAATTTTAGAGAACATAGTTCTCTGAGGGTATGTGCCAATTCTGCCATTACCCATTTCCAGTAATTATTTCTTTGCCAAGACTCCAAGGAGAAAGAGGGTAACTGCTTAGTTAGATTTCCTCCCATATTCACCAGGAATATAGAGTGAATGACATCATATTCTTACACTTGCATTCATTGGAAGGCAGTGGAGAGCAGCAGGAAAAAAAAAAGGCAGCTGAAAAGGAGGTGTGCTGGAGAAAATGTGCTGACCCAAAGGACTGGACAGTCCCATGTCTCCCTGTTGTCTCCATCAAAATCAACAATTATGTGATGGTGTGCTTAATAGTTGTTAAATCACTTTGGTGCAGTATCTGTAAAGTAGGCATTTGATCACTTTTTAATCAGGTGTGCATATTGGGGTGGTGTTCTTTTGTGAACTCAGACTATACTTTTTTTTTTCTACTGACTGGTAAACACTTGGAAGATGGTTTGGGGTTTTTTTCCCCTTTATTAGAGCAAGAAGGGCAATAAGAAGATAAGTGTAGAATACATAATCTGGTCTACTGAGAAACATATTTTGAGGTTTCTTTATCATTCTGCAGCCTTGTGCAGCTTCAGTGCCTTATGAAGAGGCTTTAGCCAATCGCAGAGTTCTTCTGAGTTCTACAGAAAGCAGAGAAGGTCTTGCACAACAGGTATTCTGGTACAAATTTTACTAACGTGTGATAGTGTATTTTATAAAGGTAAAGTAGTATCAAATAGTCTCCACATTTATGCATGTGGTTGTTTGTACGTATATATGCATATACTTAAGCTTAATGTTAGACTGTAGATGTTCTGTAGAGTTTTGAAAGTAAAATTTATCCTTGTCATGCTGGGTTATCCAAGACTTGTTCTGTACCTGCAGAATGTACACGTAATTATAAAAGACAGGATAATGCCATTGTTGTCTTTGTTTATAAATACAATAAGTCAGGCAATCTTTAGTAATTCAAATAAATGCAAAATAAAGAATAAGGTATAGTGAAGTATTCATTTCCAGTGTTATGTACTGCTGCGAGTGCTTTTTTGGCCTATGCAGGTTTTATTAGCACTGGTAAAGAACAAAGATTTTCCTTTTCAGTTAGTCTGTTAATAGGTTACAGTTTATCATTCTGGCAGTGTGCGTAGATACATAATTTTTGCCCATCATCTCGTGTGAATGAGACTAACTGATCAACACTAGAACATCTTTTATTAGCTTGAATGCTCAGACTATGCTTGAGTCACCATCATAGAACTTGTATGAAGAAAAAGAACTATATTGGTGTGGGCCTATTTTGTAGTGGCCAGTATTCAAAGTGTATTAGTAGGGGTGAGATGAATTCCAACAGAGTTGTGTGGAGTGATGGGATATGTACTGTTCCATAATTGATTTTTTTTACTCTGGACAAGTGGGTTCTTATCAGGACAAGTGTACGCTGGGACTAACAGGAGGGGAGAGGTTTCTCTTTCGAGCACAGAACAAGACAACGCTGGTGCCAGGCACACATCTTTCAAGTTTTCATCAGGTTCTTCCCTGCTTTGGTTTTTCACCTAATTATGTCGCCAGTTCCATGTGCTGTAACTTTGTGATGTATGTTCCAGACGAATTAAATAACATGATCATTTATGAGAGGTGACCACAGTTAAAACATGCAGCTGAAATCAGTAGTTACCTGCTGCATTATTCATTAGCTCACTTACGTAATGGTTAAAAATAATACAGTCTCAAACATTTCCTGTGTGGCTTTTTTCCCCCCTGGTGTTCAATAACCTGGCCTGTAAACTTTCCCTCCTAAAGGTCCAGCAGAGTTTGGAGAAAATTGCAAGACTTGAACAAGAAAAAGAACACTGGATGTTAGAGGCCCAGCTAGCTAAAATAAAGCTAGAGAAAGAAAATCAAAAACTGAAGAACTCTCTTAGTGGACATTTAACTGAAACTATACAAGAGCATTCTGTTTTGCCAAATGCAGCTGAACAAAAGAAGGAAACCACAGAAAAGAGTCTGAGGGAACCTATTAGGAGTACTAGTCTGGTAAGTGCCCCTCTTTATTCAATAGAGAAAAATCCTCTTTCTTTAGTAGTAGTGCTGTTTGATCAGTGGAACACTAATAATGAAAGCTTTTTTGACTGTGTTGAAATGCATTCACACTTGGGCTCCCTGTATTTGCAAAGCTGTTTGCTAGTGCTTTCTGCAGAGTTTGGAACTTAGTGGATTTTTGAGACTTTGTTCACTGTCTTTAGTATCATGGAGATATTTTTGTAGTTCAATACCTGTGTGACTTAGGAAGCAATAATAGGCACTTAACTCCTAAATTTTTCTTATTTCTTAAATAGGAAGCCTTGCAAGTTATATGTATCTTGGGTCTGTTCTGAATTTCCAATACTAACTCATGTCTGGGGATGTTTTAAGCAAACCGAAGTAGGTAATTAGTATTTTTAAATGGGTTAAGACTTACTACAGGTCAGTTTACTATAGCTTAATTTTAACTTGAAGCTACTCAAACTTTCAGTGTGCTCTGGAGCATTAATTTTTATGTAACCTTTATAACCTTGTAACCTGGGGTTCAAGAACTGCCTTTGAATACGGCATGCAATGTGTCCTTGCTCTTTTATGTTGGTAAATGGCTTTTTCCTGTTTATTACTAGAATTTAAAAGGGGCTGGCCTTTCCTCTGAATTAATCACTTCTGAAGGGGTATTAACTGGGATGTCATCTGTAAGAAATAATCACTGTACTCAGCACTCAATAGAATTTCCCCCTCCCTCCCACACCCCCTTTCCTTTCCAGATCCAGGATAAAAATGACCAATGGATTGTTTTGAAATCCCTGATCTTGAGTAAACTTGCATCTTAAGTTTTTGATCCTCTATTTTTATCTGTTAGGAATTTGAAAAAAATGGCTTTTTCTAGTTACAATGTTTAATGCAAAACAGGTCAACATACTGGGTAAATATTTTGCATTTACCTAAATATCCATTCCTGTCGAGATCAGAAAAACCCCTCTCATTTCTCTGTGAAGATATTCTTCCATTAAACTAGTTATTGGCATACACTCACCTGCTAGTGTTCTGTCAGTGCTTTATGGTGAACTGGCCATGTAATTCGCTAGTCAAAGTGAAAAGAAGGGAATTCAGGAGGTGCTAAAGAAATCCAAGTTGTATTTCCTTGCTGTAAGATATGCAAAGTAATGTTTCAATATACTACCATGCCTTTGAATTAGTTTAATCAAGCAATTGCATAATCATATAAAACTAGCAGCATCCTGTTGTTTTATTGTTTTTTTTTCCTGTGTGCATCGTAAGGAAAAGGATATATTTGGAGAGTTGGTGTCACCTTTAATTCTGTTCAAGGCATTCATGTTATTGTCATCTATGTTTGTCACAGGTAGAAGTACTTAAATCTGGTTTTGGTTTTAATTGTGAGAGTTTTTTTAATTTAAAGTCCTTCTATGACTGAAGCTGAAGTGACTTGGAGTTATGGTATCTATTATTGCAGTTCTCACTTAAGTGTATTTTCTTCCTTTTCCTAGATTGGAATGTTGACTATAACTACTGATAATGAAAAGGTAATCTGTTTTAAACATTATCAGTGTACATCTGGTAAATACTTCAATTCTGATTCTGTTAAACTTATTTCAAAGGTCTAATTACCAAGAATGATGATGTATAATGGCATGAATCACCCATGTAGTCTGTATACTGTATGTTCTGTAGGTTTCTGAAATCCATGCATTCATTTTCTTCTGTTTAATGAACTGTTATCTCTTATTCATGTAAGCAGTTCGGAGCAGTGTGAGCTATAATCCAGGTCTTATCTGTGACTTGAGGAAAGCATTGCTGTGTTTGTACTTCAGTAACCCTAACTGCATTCCAAACCTCAATTCCTAACCCTTGGGGAAGAGCTTAAGCTGCAAATAAGTCACTGGCTGTAGTGCCTGGTGTTTAACACTTAAGTACAGGCTACCCCAGACTAGAGGTCACACCAAAAGAAACATGGAATCAGCTGTCAAACTAAATGTTAGCTCCTTATTTAGCACTGCGATAGGGTAATGCTTGCCCCAGTAGGAACTTAGCAGCATAAGATTCAGTACTTTCTGCTAATAATTCAGGGAACTGATGTGTATCTTAGTTTATTCCTCCTTTTTTTTTCTGAAGGTGTGATTAAAAGGGGTGGGGGGCAGATAATAACTGACACAAATGCTTAAAAGCACATGTGTTGGTTATTGTCTGAACTTGAAGGTAATGACAAGTTACGTGAAAGCTGCTTTTAGTGGGCTACTCTGTAACTTACAGTGAACTGCAAGTTGTCTTGGTATGTTTATTTATTTTTAAAGTTCAAATGTCTAGAGAAACTTCTGGAACATGCAACATTAGAAATAGTTCTGACTATTGTGAGCTTCTGAAATTCAGTTCTGTGAAGGAATTCTTCTGTGGGAAGAGCCACTTCTGTGGGAAGTTTTGATGTGGGTGAAAGCAGTTCACTTCTGCATTAGATTTTCATCTTTGTCAGAGACTTGATATGTTGAATTAAGCTAACTTCTTACCTCTCTGTCAGCCCTTTGTCTGTTCACATCAAAAGTCACCATCAGAGTGACGAGTTTCAGAGTGACCTGCTATAACTTCTGTTGTGTTTGGAGAAAATAATGTTTTTGGGTAGAGCAGCCAGGCCTTGGGAGGGAAGAAAAGTTAGCATAGAGGGCAATGTTGTGATGTAAGTATTCAGTCTGAGAACCATAAATGTCTGTCTGCTTAAATTTTGGTTTGCCAGACTCCAGATGTTGAGTCTCGTGAAGATCTGATAAAAACCCACTATATGGCAAGGATAGCAGAACTTACTTCTCATCTGCAGCTTGCTGACAGCAAGTCGGTACACTTTCATGCTGAGGTGAGCATATGTCTATACTGAAAACAATAAATCCCTTTTGAACTTTCCACAGGCAAGTGTTATGATAATGAATTTAAATATATGAAACATAATCTTTCATAAAAATCTGTTCCTGGCATGTTTTTGCCTCTTGTATAGTATGCATAAAAATGGATACTGTAGAAAGACATATTTAAATAAATCCTTTGGTAGCCTTGTCTTGGGTGTATTAAGAAGTACAGTGTGTGTCATGTATAGGCGTGTTCATAGAAGCTGAAGCAGCTAGCTTTAGTTACCAAGCTGGTTTTGACTTAGTGATGCTGATGTCATTCAAAAATGAGTGTATCTTGAAGTGATGAAGCAGTTCTCCGAGAAATTGGTTCTTAGACATGTTCTAATTAACTTCAGGCATTAACAAAATGATTTGTTGTATTTATGGTTTCCTGTTTTCATTGCAAACCATGAGGTATTTTTTCTTGAGAGTAGTGGCCATTTCAGTTTGTAATTAACTGATGTGGAATATACCATAGCCTCCAGGTTAACAGAGCAAATTATACTAAACATCTTTTAAAGGTAGATGACATCGTGTGGAGGAACCATGTTTCTCTGATACTCTTGCCATGTATGAAGTGAGTTCTGTTGGTTTTTACTTAGGACATATTTCCTAGTAATTATGTGCTAAATATATATTTATTTTATAAATACATTTAGAGGATTGGCAAGATGGTAATTCTGTAAGATGAAACAAAAGTGTAATGTTAACTATTGCATTACCTTTGCATTTAAAATATGTGCACAAGCTCTGACTAAATTTCTTGAAATCTAAAGATTACAGAAAGATGGAAACATCCAAGGCAATCAGTTAAAGATGGCATAAAGTAATACTCTGGAACTAACTTTCCTCCCTTCTGTCTTCCCTATCCTGCTCTGATTGACAGTGTCGAGCACTTGCCAAAAGGTTGTCTTTAGCAGAGAAGTCCAAGGAATCGCTCACAGAAGAGTTGAAGCTAGCTAGTCAAAACATCAGTAGGTTACAGGTAAGTAAAATGTTGTATAATGTAACAGAGGCATTTTGTAAGCGTGTGTAAGGGGAAGTTGGAGGAGAAAAACTGGAGCCATCAAGCATGGTCGTGCCTTTATTAGGTCCTTACATGATGCAGAAACTCTAATGTTTGGCAGAGAAGAGACTTAAATAAGATACTTCAGATCCGAGGTTTAAAGTTGAAATGGAACATGTTTGCAAGGAGAAAGTTACAGTAGACAAGCTTGTGTTTTTAGCACACGAGTCAAGGCTTTTTATGAAAATGGCTTTTTTAATGTCAAAAGCTGTGGTTGTATGGCTGATTTCAGATGACACAATGAACTCATTATCATTTCTAACATCTGGGACTGAAAGTCTTAAAAATGCCAGGGTGTTTTTTAGACATGGATAGCTTAATAATAAGCAAATGTAACTTTAGGGTAATCTTTAAGAAGCCCGTCTTAACAACAGATAATAAACTCTTAAGCCAGACATCTTGTAAATGTCCTGCCCCTTTGTCCTGCCCCACCACACAGCTGAGAAAGGGGTCAGTAGTAAAGTGTATATAAATATTCAGTTCATAAATGCCTTTGTGTTTTCTTTATGTTCAGTTCATATCTTTATTGCTCTCTGTGATGGTGAGTACCTAAAATGCTCCATACAGGCAGTTAAGAAAATGATCTAAAGAATTGTTAGTAAACATAGCATTCTTTTGATTTTTCTTTAACAAATTCCACAGTCAGTATCCAACTTGGCAGCATGAGGTGTTCATCTCCAATTATGTATTAACATCCTAAGAAAAGATAGCAGGTTTACCATTTGCATGTTTAGTAGTCTGCATAATACTGAATCATGGAATAAGTTGGAAGCATCTTCTGAAGGTAATCTGGTCCCCTCCTATGGTCAGAGCAGGGGGAGTTCAGATCAAGCCATCCTGACCTCCTGCCACGACTGCTCCACTTCCTAAGCTGTTCTTTACTTTGTTCTTGATCGTTCAGCTTTCCTGGACCCATTTAACTTCCAGAGCAGTTTTACCTGGGATCTTGCCAAGCAGACCTTGAAAAAGCCAAAATCTGCTGTTCTTAAATGTAGGGTTGCTGTAATTCTACTATTCATCTTGCTTCCCTCAGAATCTTAAATTCCACTAACTCATGACTGCTGCAGCCAAGGCTACCATTGGCTTTCACATCCCTGACCAGCTTTTCCTTATTTGTGAATAGCAGGTCCCCAGAGAGCATCTCCTAGGCCAGTTGATCACTGCTATCAGGAAGTTCTTTACTACACTGAAGAGAACCCCTGAACTTGTGTTACACCTTGTTGCCCTTCCAGGAGATGTCAGAATAGTTAAAATTCATCATGAGGATCATGTTCCTGCGGTTGAGAGATTTTTATCTGCTTCTAGAAGATACCTGCCATATCAACCTTGTTTTCTCCTCTGATCCCTATCTATAAGATCTTAATTGTCTTTAAAACACTCCTTCATGTAAAGCATGATTTATCCCATTTTATGCTGTCCTTCCTAAAGTGTCTGTTTCCCTCCATTGCTGAGTTCTAGTCACTCATGTAGTCACTCATAGATGTGCAGTATCCCACCATGTGTCTCTAATCCCAGAGAGGTCATAGCTTCGCAACTGCATGTGGCTTGCTGATTCCTTCAGCTTTGTATGCCATGTATGTTCATGTCCAGGCTGTGCTCTAACCCTAGAAACTCTACTTGTTTGCTGGCTGGAAGCAGTGTTGGAAAACTTAGCTGTGTTAGTCTTTTATGTAAGCCACAAAAAGTAGGGAGGGATGTGGAAATTACAAAGGAAGTAGAACAAAAATACAGAGTACAGACCATGCATGAGACTAAAGAGAAAAATAGCTATTGATTTTCTTTCATAAAGTATTTCTTTCCCAATGATTTAGTTTAATTGCACACATTCATCATAAAAGTGTACCTTACTAAGTGGAGATAGAAGTCAGCTGCTTTGCCACTTTTCACTAATACTGAGCAAAGGCTTGTGGTTGTTTTTTTTTTCCCCTTAGGATGAATTGATGACAACAAAGAGAAGCTATGAGGATCAGTTAAGTATGATGAGTGACCATCTCTGCAGTATGAATGAAACCTTAACTAAACAAAGGGAAGAGATTGATACACTAAAGATGACTAGTAAGGTAAGTTGCCAGGTGGCAATTTGGCTAAAGTTTGGAGTTCTGTGGGTGGCATTCGACATTCCTGCAGCACTAACCTTTAACAAACTGATTCCCAAGTTGTAGTTCTTATTCTCAGCCAATTGGAAAGAAAACTCCAAACCTGTGAACTTAAATGCCCGCTTAAGTTCTTTTCCAAGCAGGGAGTCTACCCATTTATCAGAAGCAAGTTTTTGACTTATCTTAGTGTTAATGATGAAAAACACCTATGTCTGCTGTTTTGAGCAGTCAGTGATTAATCCATGTTATATCTTTATTCTCACAGTTCTAGGGAGATGTCTAGGCAGATGTGAAGGCCTCTATTCTTCCCTCATCTGGCTGTGAAACTAATAAACTAACGTTATTCTCCTTAACTGTGGAATGTATGGAAGCAGGTTTCACTGAAGGGTTAAAAATAAAGTAAAAATCCATGTTTTGATTAAAGATCCTGTGATGGGGATTTTAATTTTTTTAGGGTAAACCCTTCCCCCCATTTATAAAACTTTTCCTTCAGTTATCTGAGTGGCTTGACTTGGCATCATAATCTTTAAAACTACATTTTGTTGTCCAAGCTCTTGTGTTTTTAGAGAGAAGCTCTTGGCTGCATACTGACCATAGCACTTCATGTTTTTATAAGATGTTTTCTGGAATTTTTCACTTGTCATACTTTTAAGACTTGAAGTGGTACTCTCTCTGTAAGGAGGGAGTTCAGAATCTCACAACAGTACATTCAGGTTTTCAAATGCAGAAGGCGATTGGGTTGAAACCAAAACGGTGCAGTTCAAGCCATTATCACTTGGAGGGGGTTGCTGGTTAGTTTAAAAACAAGTGTTATCTTCAGGAAATAGGAAGACAAGAGAATTGCCAGCAAGTAACTATTGTACAAAAGTTTATTTTAAGCTACACATTTGCTTTGTGGAATTGTTGCAAATCAAATGTGAGTTGGTTAGTTGTAGAACAAATTCATTTCTCAAGTAGGAATAGTTTGTATAGGCCAAGTTAAATTTGTTTTGGAACAAAAGGATAGGGTGGGGGATTAATTTTAATTTGAGGCAATTATCCTATGAGGTTTATATTTGACATGGCACTTACGTGAATTATGATTTAACTTACCTTCATGGCCCTTGAAGTATTAGTGATGTTGATGCAATTCAGTGTCGTGGGATGTAACTCAGATGTCTTCTTTTCTACAGATTTCAGTTAAAGTAAGGTACTGTTGTGCTTATTTGAAGTATCTGGTACTTTCCTGTCATGCTTGTAAAGATAAGAGGGATTTTGAGAGCAAGCAGTTACAAGCTTCCATTATTAAAAGCCTATGGACTGTTTGAGTTTGACCATACTTCTTTGCTGTAGGCATAAATTATCAAACATAAGGGTGTATTATCTATCTAGATTTTCTTATCTGAATTATATGTTCTGTTCACTTGTTTCTTGTTGCAGGGAAATTCTAAAAAGAACAAAAGTCGATAGCTTGCAGCCAGTCAACTATCTTCGGAAGCTGCTGCACAGGATGCAGATAGTGAATGCTCATTGTCCAATTCCTGTTTGTTCCAGGAAGCCGAGCGTCATATTGGGTCTAGTAAAAACTGATTTGGTGCTGTAAATGGCTTTAAAATATTTAGAACTTGTAACAAATCAAACAGAACTTAATGTTGGCTCTAAACCAGGAAATAGACACTCTGTGGATAATTTATATAGTAATTACCTTCAGTTTTTACTGTGCACTTTTTAAAACCAGGTTTTAATTTCACGTAATAACTTCAGATTTTGTATATTTTCAACTATGATTATGCATTAACAAACTTGGGTCAGTGCAGCAGTTGTCTATTTTTGAGTTAAATGTTAAATTGTCAACGTGTACATTCCTTGTTAATAACAGTTTAAAAATTAGTTTGGAGACTTTTGGCCATGCAAGCTGTGCAGTTACTGTAAATGTATTATTCCTGTTCTCAGCCCTTTTGAATTAATTGGAATTGTGGCTTTAAATGATTTCTGTCAACTCACACAAATGAATGGGATCACTCTATCATTTTAGACTCCAATAGCGGAAACTTTTGCTGCTTGTATTTGGCACTTTGGATTTTGAAGTAAAGAGCACAGATAACTGAATTGGGATACTTCTATGAAATTGCTTGAAGCCCTTATTTTAGGCATTTTGTTTACACGTGTATGTATATATATATTGGTTGAACTAGCTGTTTAAAACTAGAGGAAATTGTGATTGTAATTTGCCCCCATAGAGTGGAACAATGTGTGTGTAGAATAGATCAGCGTACTGTGCTCGCTCTTACAGTAAAGAAGAATATGAAATATGTAGAAGATTTAAACACTGAATTTGCAAAAAGCCTTCATGGAATTAAGTCCTCATGGATTCACTGGGGGGATGCACATGGCTTTTCCTGTGGTTTCAGAAGTTTGTGAACTTTAAGCCTCTCCTAAGATTATTATTTCATATTTTATTAAGTGAATTCTAATACCACAAGTTTTCACAGCACTGATTTTTTTTATATAATTATTATTATTATTATTATTTTAATCAGGTGCTGTGCTGCTCCACACTTTACACTGATCTTCTCTTCTGTAATTTGCATTACGGCACTTATTTGTCCCATAAGGGTTTACTCTGATATCAGTTGTGTCAATATGTATTATTAGTATGTAATAATAAAATCAGCTACATGAAACCAGCTGCACTGCTTTCTTAATTCTGGTTATACCCAGGTTGCACGTTGTGACAGTGTGGTGAGATGTTAACATCTATTCCCAGTGAGGTAAGCTTAAGTAGTTATACCAGTATAGTTACTCCTGGTAGTGCTTCTCTTTGAGCCAGGCTGCATTTCTGTATCTAATGCTGCAGCGTGCAAATACATTGTGTCCAAGTTAGCGTTTTTCACTTTCTTGTCTGCTCAAAAGCAAACGATCATCCAGCTTACATTGATTCAGCTGTGGAGCTGTTCTGATACAGTTTTTAATGACAGAATGGATGTGGTTGTGAAACTGGGGAGGAGATCACAAAATCTGGGCAAAGAAGTTGCACTAACACTGGAATTAGTGTTCAAAACTTTGACTTCCTACCTGGTTAATCAGGGACCTAATGACAAACTGTTATAAGGCAGGAAAATTTTTAGAGCCATACAGTGTAAAACCAGTGTTAAAGAAAAATCCCAGTGCTAGGTAATTTTTGTAATGGACAGCTGATTGCAACACAGGTTTTGAAAGCATTTTTAGAGTGCTTATTTATTTCTCTGTAATGTTGGACACCTCCTGAATAACCTTTATACTCGTGAATAAATAACCAATTCAGGAAAACAGCACTATTTCCTATTAATGGTTTTAATAACTGGGTTTTCAAAAACTCATTCAGAACATTGTTTCAAACCTATGCTAACACTTTCAAAGCTTTCAAACTAGATTTGTGAAAGTACACCCCTAGTAACTATTCTGTGTGTTCAAAATCAGTATTTGCTATAACCAGGAATGAATTTCACTTATAGATTGCCCTTTTAAGAGTACTGCTTCATGAGTTTTGAAAGTACCCAAGAAGCACTAAATCATTGGCTGTTTTAAAAGGCCTTAAGCTCTTACAGGTCAGGGGTTTCCCTGCCTGAAAGATTAACTTCTAAAACAAGTGTCTTAGGCTGACATCATCATAAGCTGCACAAGAGTGCCATCTCATTGCTGTTTAAATAATGATGTGATTATTTTAAGTTGTTACATCTGTAAGTATACATCTGTGATTTAAGCACTGATCATATTAATGTTGATTTTTAAAATGGTGCTGTTTGTAATGTCTCTTGCTAATTCCTTCAGAGTCATTCTTAACCAACTCAACACATCAGTAAGAGTGGTGTCAGGAGCTTCACACTAGATACGATCTAGTGGCATTCCATGCAGCATCAGTATCAAGACTGGAACACTTTGCTTTCCCATCTTTGTTGAAATACATTTGCCACTTGTACAAGGTATTTTCTCTTTTTACCAAGCCAGCTTCATTTCTGATTTATGCTTATAATCCTCGTGCTCTTTCTGTTCCAACTTCCCTTGCTGACAGATGAGTTGAAGTGTTGGTGGGGAAAGCTGTTTGGTCTAATATGTTTCCTTGATGCTGACTTTGTGCACAGCAGGGGCCCATCACCGTTTAGCAGTGCTCACTGCAGCTCCACAAGAACAGATTTGCTCAGACATCCAAGGCATCAGCTGCAAACAGGAAAGGAAATAAACTTTCTATCCAGGTATCAACTTCATGAGGATGAAGAGGTTATTTACTGGCTTGGTTGAGCAATGTGAACTCTCTTGTTTTTTTAATAATATAAATGCAATGATATATTAAACTGTGGAGAACCATTTGGCTCTGTAAGCTGGGCAAACCTGTTCTTTAATATAGTATGTATGTAAGGTAATGTGAGAGCACTATCTTAGCAACAGCAGGGTCATAATAAAAATAAAGCTTAGTGCAGTAAAAAGTTGTAATTGGTACCAGAGGTCTGATTACTTCCTCCCACAAAGGCTAGATGCCGCTCTATTAAGAATGCTTGCTTTGTCTTATTCTGCCTTTCCGGCCTCTGTTACTACTTGCAGTATTATTCAGCACTGAATTAAAAGCATGTTTGTTTAGAAGAGGCCATGTTTGCCCTCATTCCTGAATATTTGGTTTAATCAGAGTGTTAGAAACATACTTCAACTATGCTTGTGTCTGCAGACCAGCTAGCTCAGTCGCAGATGGGGACAAAGAAGAGCTTTTGAGGACCTTTATAAACCAAGGCCTGAGTGGGGCTATGGAATCCACTACATGGAAACTTGCCTGGGGCAGGTCTCGTTCGCTCTGTGTGTGTGTGTAGGCAGCTTTAGACATGTCAGTGCTAATTTAGCTTCTTACAGAAGCTTTGAGTGCAAATACTGTAATACTGAGGTTAGGCAGCTGAGCTGTAAAACAAGAAGCGGTTGATTCTGGTTGGGTTTCATTTGCATGGCAAGCTACCATGCTAACAGCCCTTTTGAGTTTAAACTTTTTACATGTGAAAGATAACAGGGGAGATAATGCTTTATCTGTACTAGTTTTAATTCTAATTCACCCTGTAAGTCCAAAGCTTTATAAACTGATGAGGTCTTTGCTCATGATGTAGCCTTTGAAATGCAGGCCTGGGGTCAAAATTGTGTATATAAACAACACAGCTTGGTCTTGAGAAGAGTTAAACCCATGAAACTAAAGAGTCCAGGTAATTTCCAGTCATTTAAAGCACTATGCGTTCTTTCATGAGTTGACTAAGATGCTACTCTGTGGTGGTATGTAGCTCCTTGCAAGCTTTCTCCATATAAAGCTCATTGCTTCTGAAATTAGTATGGGGGGACATTAAGTCTCCCCACACACCCCCTTTCTACTACAAAGACTTCATCCTTGTCTGCCCTTCGACTAAAGCTTCAAGTTTCCTTCCTCTCTCACTTCAAAGGTTTCAATTTGTGCTCAAATAAGAAAGGCAGAAAACTTTCTTTGGGAAAGATTATTTTAATGAAGTTGTGAGCTTAGAGTCTGAACTGAGAACTTGGGTACAGTTTCATTAACAGCAGTCTTTGGCATGAGGCACAGCTGGAATTATTACTGCTGGACCTATTACTAGTGATCTAGTAGTAGGAAGTATTAGTACCAACCCCACTGCTGGTGGGATTATTACAGCTGGAACTGGTGCTGCACCCCTTACATGCCTTCTACTTAGTGACTTGCAAATTGCTTTTAGAGAACTAGATGATCTTAAGGTCCTTTCCAACCCTAACTATTCTATGATTCTATGAATATGCAGCTTCGGACATGGCAAATAATTCGCCTTGGGATGGAGGGAGTCAAATTTACCTGAAGTTTCTTTTGACATCTGGAAAGGTTGGTTTATTTTCCATCCAGACAAGTAGACAAGAACAAGTTTCTCTTGGATTATCAATCTAGCCCCAGAGGTCAGGAATATTTGATATCAACCAGCACTTACAACACAAAAATAATGTGAGCATGCTAAATTTTATCAATAGTTTATACGTAGTGAACATAAAGTACTTAACTGGTGAATATACCAGACTTGGGAGGGTTTTTTGATTGCAATAGCACTAAGAAAAATGAACGTATTAGAGGGAGAGAAGACTTTGACTCTTTTGTGTTTTAGTTTGAATGCTCAGTTATGATGGACTTTGTTGGTAAAATAAAAAGCGAAGTGGTAGAGCAGAGAGTTAAAATAAGCCTTGATACAAGTGCCTCTCTGTCTCCAGTTAAGAATATTTGGTTCTAGCCAGATAGGAACTAATGGGTTTTGCTTTTGACAAACAGTCATAAACAGTAAACAGCTGATAACATGACTCTTTTGTTTACCCTTTTGAAGATCAATGTATGGTCATCACTA